CTCCAGCGAAAATAGCGTAAATAAATTCCAAGTGAAAATAAAAGTATTCTACAGTAATTCCTTGTCTCCTGGTGTAGAATAGGGCTAGCAACTTTCCTCCTCCATGTTTCTGTCTCTGCCCAAGTCTTGTTTCCCCATTGATTTCTTTCCTTTTACACAGTTTACACAGTCAATTCTTTTTCAGTCTGCCCATGTTCCTTTTGCCCTTTGGTGCCCATTGTTAACACAATTTGAGGTAAATTAGGCATGTTATTTCCAAGTATTTTACAGAAAATTCATGCCACGTAAAATTAAATGATCACATGACCACACCAACCCGGCAAATACAGTAAGTACAAGTTGAATTTAACAAGATACTGGTTTTCAAAACTGTGTGTTGATATCTTATCTAATAACCATAATTCTGGAAGCATGGCAACAAGGGCAATTTTCTTGATGCCTCGAGGAGGTTGCCTTGGTGTCCTTTGAAAAATACAGAATATTCCTTTGTATTAACTGTAAAATGCATTTGGAATTTCATTAATTTGGCTAAAGGGATGTTTCAGTGAAAATATAATCCAACAAATACAGTCCTACAAAATGTATTTTCCTGTATTTTTTATTTAAACTCTACAACTGGAATGCACTCAGTGTTGGTGACGTAGTTTACCCCATATAAGGATAAAATGTTGGAGTGAGAGGAGAGTTTGGATCTGGCGTTTTACAGAATGGTAATTTGACTGTTTTTGATGTATAATTATAATACTTTTTAATAATTCATACCACTTGTATCCATGAGCTGTGATGAACAAATAATGTTGGGTAATTACCTCATAACATGACGACTAGTTTATATGCACAATTAGGTATTCTTGTCATAAAAATATATAATGTAATATTTAACAGTGTGTTATTAATATTACATTACTATGGCTTTCTTTTAACTTTTTAAATGCCATCATTATTTCTGCCATCATTTTAGGATAAATTTTGCCTTTCTTTTTGATAATTATTGAACAGACATATTCTCTATTTGGCTACAGATCTTGAAGAATAATTTGGGTTTTATTTTGTGAAAGGGAAAAGTTGATTTGGAAACTGAAATGGTTAAAGGGTTAAGAATTTGCCAGACTTTGATGACATTCAGTTGTGTCATTTACCAAGACAGTTTTTCTTGTGTTGTTGTTTTGAGATCACCTGAGTGGACGACTATAGTTTCGCTTTTTATGAACAATTATCATGATATACATTTACCACTGTGACAGTAAAAAAATTATTAGAAAATGACATACACACCAAAATGTTGGCGAATCATTTTAAAGTATTTTTCAATAATTTGAACTTGAATGGATATAATGATTAAATGACAACGAATATGAAAAAAAACAACACGATGGTGCAGGTTGTAAAAAGCTACATAAGTTGACTTTAGCGTTTAAAAACGTTGAATAATGAGGTAGTGAAAAAAACTGGCACTGTTGAATATAATCAATCAATCAATCAAATATTTTATTTTACCTAATAATGTACACTTGTAGTTTACAAAACTAGAATCAATTATAAATAGGTAAAATAGGAACCAGAAATAGCCGTTGGCTAATCTAGTCTGATTCCTCAAAAAACAAAGTGAATTACACTATCTTTGAGGGTGATTTATAATAACCTGAACCTGTAAGTGAAGCTAATAATAATATTAATAATAATAATAATAATAATTATTATTATTATTCAATTAATTTTTCTTTCATTTTTAACTTAAATAATTTCCTTGACGTAATGTCTTTTATATTCTGTGGTAGCTGGTTCCATAGCTTGGGGCCAGTATTTTTAATAGAACGTTGACCTACATTAATACGGTACTTTGGAATTATTAAATTTCCTTTGGTTTGAAACCTAGTATGATAAGTTTTGGGTACATGCCGAAAGAGTTGGGATATTGAATTAGGAAAATGTCCATGAATACTATCAAAAACGAAAAGGGCTAATTGGAGCTGGTGTTGTTTGTATATATCAAGTATATTACAGCTGTTAAACAATGGGAGA